GTGGGAAGTGGGGACATGGGTGCGCAGGGCTGTCTTTATTTTCTCGATGTTAAAGTATTTTTAATGCAGGTATCAGCGAGCGCTTGTGCATTTGAGGGTTGTTTTGTGTGTTGTTGTTTTTTACGCATAAGGCACTTTTTATATTGGCCTGTATTCAGTTTCAAGGTACCACTAAAATAGTGGACGCGCTCCTTATTAGAAAGTGAAGCAGTGAGCAGTCCCCCTTGGAGATAAGGGTAATTTATTGTCATTCACCACTAAGAGATGATGTGTGTTCCGGACAATGGCAGCGCCTGTGCACCATCTGCCTGCCCACACCGCCACCCATCAGGCAGATAAATCTCCAAGTTAAGGTTTATTAAAATTCTGAGTAATATCACAGTACAGTAAATGCTAGCACCGTGGGTCCTGCAGGGAATAGCAAACACTCATCGTTGGGATTAGTCATTCCTCTCGCTAAAGTGATAACTTTCAAAGGAAAAAGCGCACCAACCTTCAAAAAGTACATTGTTGGGAGGGGGGGGTGCTCCTTTCTTTTTCTTTCCATATTTGCCTGAATACACACCTGTGGTCTGATCTCACATAAGTGATCGCTTGTTCCAAGAAGGGTACGGTTGTCAGGCAAGTTCTGCTTGTTTTAAAAATTTAACCATCCTCAGCACTTACATTTCTGCCTCTTTTTCCCATTTTCTCCCTCCCTCCCTTTCTCTCTCTCTCTCTCTTCTCTTTCTCTCCCCCCCCCCCCCCAAGCAGCGATCCAAAGGGCAACACCAAAGGGACCCACACTTGAAATTGATTTATATGGAAAGGACTCGTGGCCTGTCTGCCACCTTAAGGAGCCATGTTGAGTAGAAGAAGTGAACTTAAATTTGATTAGTTCTGTGTCTGCCTGAATCCACTTTGATTCTGCATGGTTCTTACAAAACAAATTAAAAGCCGGACAACAAAAGAATTCTGTTCTGTAAGGAGTAATTACAGCTCTTCATGTGGGCGGGGTAGACTGCCTTTTCCCGCAAGTATTTGTACACAAAAACCCCCGCCCGGCTTTCCATCGCCCCCCCTTCCACATCCATTCTCTGTCCGTCTCAGTGAAGGTGGGAACTTATTCTCCATTCTCCAAGTCACCAAGCCTCTGCGCACCGGCCGCGGAAAAGGAGTCGGCCTGGGTGGGTCATCGGCAGTTTGGTCTTCTGCTTGAGGCTTGTGTCTGTAATCAACAGGTTAACATTCAGATCAATGACAGAAAGCTCTGAATTAAGGAGCCTTTCACCTTAAAGAGTAGCACGCAGGGGCCCGGTCTCATGACCTCTGTGTGCTGTCCGACCTGTAGGACGTGGTGGGCTATCCTGGCACATGGAGGCGCTCAGGACTGAGGGCCACTCTCCGCTGCCATGTGGTCCGCACTGCGCCCCTGAGGAGCCCCCACCGGAGCTGTGTGATCCTGGGCAAGTTCCCGGAGGTCTCTGGGCCGCACTGTGTCACAGCCACCCTCCGGGAGGTCAGGCCCAGCCCTGAGCGAGGAGGAGTCTTGTCAGTGCAGCCACCGTCGCATGAATATTGATTCCTGAGTGCATGTGGGTGACACGGCTCACCAAGTGGAGGTTGAGCAAATGTGGCCGAGTTTGATCCAGGACAGCCCCTCCCCACCCCGGCCCTCCCCCCACAGTGCTATTATTATTCCCAGTGCTCCAGGCTCCTCTGGCCCCCCAGGATAATTACCGCCCCCCCATAATTACCGGCACTGGAGGGTTTAACAGCCCTGGGCAGTGCCTCTGGCCTCCCCTGAAGCAGACACTCACCTCCCACGCTGCCTTTCCAGCCAGGAGAGAGAGGTGTGTGTGTGTGTGTGTGTGTGTGTGTGTGTGTGTGTGTGTGTGTTTTGGAGTCGTTGGGAGGTCTGGTTTAGCTATAACATTGGTCATAAAGGAAAAACAAGAAAGCACAAAGAAACCAATTAGGGGAAAATATGCTATTTGCCACCTCCAGTAAGTGCTATCAATTGCGCAATATTTTAAGCAATATTTTAATTACTCGAAGGTCCTAGTTGTAACAGGCGGGAACACCCAGTGGAGATGGGGCGGGGCGGGAGGGTGCAATTAGCCAACCCCTAAAGCTGCCTGGTAAGCCTTCAGTTCCGCGGCCAGAAAGCCAGTAGGGTAAAGGTTACGATCAGCTATGCTAACCCAGCTTATTTGAAAATGAATTTTCATTTTCATTTCTCTGGGTTTTTTTCTCCAGCATCCTGGTGGCATTATCTATGTACCCTTCTCACTTACTAATATATAAGCAACCAATTCCATTTTAGGGCCCCAAATAAGTTCTCGGCCTATCTCAGCAGGGTTCAGTTCCAAGTCACATAAGTAGCTATATAAATGCTGTCATAGTCACGTTAAATATATAAAATAGGTGAAGTTAATTTCAGTAGATTCCCATTCGCCGAGTATATGCAAGCTGTTACATACACATGCAGTAAACCTAACATTATTACTGAGATGGTTTACTTTTTTCTGTGAGATCTTTGAAACCTGCATGTGTATTTTACATGCAGAGCTCATCTCAGGCCGGATCAGCCATGTGCCAGGCGCCCGGCCGCCACACGTGGCCCGTGGCCACCACTCTGGGCAGCGCAGGTCTAGCATAAGCCCAGATGCTATCAGGGCAAGTAAGGCAGGTCTGCGCTTAGAATCTCCTCTGAGGGAGGGCACAGCTGAGCGACTCACAGAGCTAACGTGTTTGGAGCTGTGTATTTAACACGGGAGGGAGGACCTGGGACCCAGAGGATCTGGGGAGGAAGTGGGACCATGAGAGAGGGTTTGGTCTGAAGCCATGGGTCTCCCTTTGATCTTCCTGGGCCATAGCTTCCTCCAATGAGAGGATGGGGCCTTCTGGCCCCACCCAGCATGCTTTCCTTGAGGATTCCCAACCCTGAGGATCCCCCTCTGGCAGACAGGAGGTAGCCCTGGTTCCCTAGCATCCCTCTGGCTCCCCCTCCCCCCCCTCCCCCTCGAACAGCAGCCCCTCCCGTGGAGGGACACAGGCTGCCTTGGGAGGCTCTGAGCAGCCAGCCGGAAAGTGCCTTTATCGGTGTGCCTCATCTCTAAGTGGAATTCGGTGGGAATCAGCATTATTATTGAGCGACAGAAATGGCATAGCCTTTGTGAGAAGGGCCTTTTAAATCAGAATCCCTGGCATTCGGTTCTGAACGATGTTACTGAATGATTTTATGACGGGGGAGTGGGGAGGGGGGCTGCAGCTAGTGAAGACACCTCAAAAAAGGAGCCCTTGCCTCTGACTATCCTCCTCTTCCTCTTTTTTTTAAAGATGAATGACTTTGGAATCAAGAACATGGACCAGGTGGCCCCTGTGTCTAACAGTTACAGGGGGACACTCAAGGTGAGTGAGCAAGTCTTACTAAAAGTTGGGTTTTTGTTTTTTTTAATTTGGAAATCTCAATCTCTAGGAGAAAAGAAAAAAAACAAATGATGGGTGGGGCCCCAGAAGACCCGTTCTAAGCCCCAGCTTTTCACTTACTGGCTGTGTGACTCTGGACCGTTTGCTGACTCTCTCTGGGCCTCAGTTTTCTAACCTGTAAAATGGGCATCCTGATGCTTGCTCTACTTGTCCTCCAAGAGTGGAACTCGTTTATTTTGTAGAAGGTGAGGCCTTGGTAGTTTGTTTCTGAGACTCCGGCCCGGTGGATAAGCCTGTGGTTCTCCGTGGAACGGAGCTGGAGCCGGTTTCCCGGGACGAGGGGAAGGCTGCTTCCTTGAGGCGGCCGAGCCCACAGGACAGCCTGTATCTGTGAGCCAAGAAACAGATTAAGGATGAACGCCGCCTCTGCTGCCCAGCAAGCACATTTCCTGGGCTTCTATCTAATTCCTCTTGGGAACGTGCTGTGGCAGCACAGCGGGTAATTCCCTGTCGGCTTCTCCGTCCGTGAGAGCAGGGCCTGACTGCTGTTGGTTTTGTGAGTAAACACATCTCGGGAGCAGTGGTTTTCGATTGGCCTCCTCTGAGCTCAGGGCTTTGTACAAATGGGTGTCTCTGGCAGGTCCCGTGTTGCTCTGTAGGTCGCTGGGAGGTTGTCTGTCTGTGGAACCCAAAGAGCCAACACTGGGCTCGGGCCTCTCTGGAGAATTAGGGCGGCCATCCCTCCACTTCAGGTGGGCGCTCCTTGCCCGTGTGGTCAGAGGTTTTCAGAGCAGCCGGACGTGGACAAGCTGTGATGGCACCAAGCTGCAAGGCCCAGCCCCAGAAAAGAAACTTCCCTGTAAATTCAAAGACTTTGATGGTGTCCCTGCGACTCCTGGGATTGGAGAAGCAGTCACCGGATTGAGGTGTTGAAAGAGGCAGCGTGAACTTATGTTGTCTTTGAACTTCCTCGTTTTAAAAAAAAAGAACTTGCTGTCAGTGAAGCGAAGGCATTTCTTAGTCACCTGGGCGGAGCTAGTGGGGGTTTTAAAAGTCGATTGGCTATTTTACGCACAGTTAGTCCCAAATGATAAAGAAGTTTGTTCATCTACTAGAACCATGGTCGGCAAACCGAGGCTCGCGAGCCACATGCGGCTCTTTGGCCCCTTGAGGGTGGCTCTTCCACAACATACCACGTGACGTACAGTGCGATTGAAACTTCATGGCCCATGCGCAGAAGTCGGTATTTTGTGGAGGAGCCAGTATTTTGTGGAAGAGCCACACTCAAGGGGCCAAAGAGCCACATGTGGCTCGCGAGCCGCAGTTTGCCGACCACTGGACTAGATGATGGGTTGTGCCCTCGATGTCTTGGGACATCTGTTGGACTTCACAGCCTTGGGTTTTGGGGGGACTGGGCTCCACTGAGTGTCTGGGGCCAGCTCCAACCTCTGCCCGCCCACTGGGGTAATGTGTCATCCATTGTTCTGCATTTCTAAAACGAAAGCACACCAACTGATTTTATTTGTAAATGTGTCACACATTTTCTTATTGGTGACTCAACACATGTGTCATCACATGACACGCAACATGGGAGTTCCAGCCCCTGTTGGAAAAGTAGACTCTTTCTTCACATTTTTTCCTTGACTGGTTGGGCAATGATGAATCAAGGCCTTATCTGTTACTTATTAACGAGTCTTCATATGAAAGGCTATTTCTTGGATACATCTGAGACGAGAGGGTCAGAAATGGACAGTGTGCAGTTTTCTCGGTGCCTCTCTCCTCTCCTTCCCCCTCCACTGTAGGGAGTTTAACTTTAAACCCGATTCCTTTGGAATCTTTCCCCCTCGAGGAGTGTGGGGCAGGGAAGTTCTTTTTAACGCGCGTTACGTTTAGAACAGTGGACCTGCGGGAACTTCCGCGTGTTTCGCTCTTTTCTGCGCCATTGGGATTGTTGAGGGGAAAAAGCACCTCGTGTCAGTGACAGTGTTTCATTGTAAACATTTCAAAATGAGTGCTTCCGCGGATCTTCATTGTTTGATTTTCCGTGTTCAGTCCATCGTTTGCCTTTGGTTTTCACTGCGGGCCTTGCCAGGCTCATTTCCCTTAGACACGGGGCCTGATGGCATTTCTCTCCGATGATGTCACAAAAAGGCAGGTGCTGGAGCAGGTGGGCTCTGAGGCCCCGCCCCGCACTGTTCTTCTGGGATCCTAGCGTTTCTGGGTGTCTTGCCTTCATTTATGAATTTCAGTGGCTTAGGCCCTTAGAAATAAACTCCCGGTCATTCTGCCTCTGTGTGAGGGGGATTAAATGACCTTTTGGTCACCTGGGCCGTCCGAGACGTCTGGGTACGGCGGGTCCGCTCCAGGTGTGGCCTCACAGTGGCCGGTTTGATCCGGGCGCGGGGTCCGATGACCCACGGACCGCGTTGAAATCAGGTAACTCAGCAAGTAAGTATTATATGTCCCGTTTTCTTGCTGTCCCTTCTGCAGCGCCAGCCGGCCTTCGACACTTTCGACGGGTCCCTGTTTGCCATTTTCCCCTCCCTGAATGAAAAGCAAGCGCTCCAGGAAGTGCCCACCGGCTTGGATTCCATCTCTCACGGTAACCTGCTGCCCAGACCGGCCGTCGTGTGCGACGGCCCAGAGTAACGCGGGGAAGGGAGAGGACAGCGGATGAGCCATGAGTGTCCGAGTCTTGAGTCTCTGGCGTGAAGTCGGATGGAGGCTCTGGACCTGGGGCAGGGCCGTTTTCCCTTTTGCTGAGTGTGAGGATTCTGGTGTCTTCCCTGCCAGACGCACCCCGGGGAGAGCAAATGTCCTGCCCTTGGCACACTGCAGGGGGCTCCCCGGGTTTCCACCAGGGGGGTGTCACCCCCGCGGCTTCCCGGGGCCACTCCAAAGCAGACCAGGCCGCAGTCAAATGCAGCTCAGCTTTCCTTCTGGGTTCACAGCTAGACCCTCCCCTGGGGTTTGGGGCCACAGGTGGCTCTTGCTGGTCATCCCCATCTGCACTGACTTCTGTGCTCCTTCGTGTCATTGATTCTCCCTGGAGGACTGACCGGCATGCCGGCCGGTGCCTCTGCCGTGACTGGGATAGTTATTAGTTGGAGACATTCCAGACGTGACGTTGTCACATGAAGTAGGTGCTAGAAAATACAGCCCAGAAAATTAATTAAAGCAGGTGTGCTTGCGTCAGCATGTCGTCACGTGACGGTCATTTATCATTCCTGGAATTGCCGAGGGAACCCAGAGAAGACTGTTTCTTAATAAAAGTGCAAAGTGTGCCAATGTCACGGGGCGCAGGGCCTCTGCCTGTGGCTGGGTTTTAATGGAATCGACTTCCAGATTATGTATTTACAAGCCCTTGAGCCTTTGGCCTCAAGATCATGCACTTTTCTATGATGGTCTAAAAATAGTCAGATAGACATTTCATCTAGACATAAGCTGCTGTATGAAGTATTGGGTCATAAGATAAAACTTGAGTGGTTTTATTTTAATAAGTGAAGTTATGGGATGTATATTTTTTAATGTCACTCGAAAAAAAAGTTTGGGGGTCCTATGTATCCTCTTTTAAGGAAATGATGTCAAGGTTTGAGATCCAAATGGTTCTTTTCTAAAAGCTACGATTCCTCCCCTAAATTCTCCTCCGCGGCCGCCAGCTTGAAATCCTAACGTCCGCCCTGGTTTCTCCCTAGACTCGGCCAGCTGTGAGCTGCCCCTGTTGACGCCCTGCAGCAAGGCTGTGATGAGTCAGGCCTTGAAAGCTACCTTCAGTGGCTTCACGAAGGAGCAGCGCCGGCTGGGCATCCCCAAGAGTAAGTGCCTCTGTCGAGCTGCCGTCGGGGTCTGCGCCGTGCGGGCGGGCGGGCGGGCGAGCTGGGCTGCCATGGCGCGAGACGGGTTGTATTTTAAGCTCGTGTGAGAGGCGGCTCCCAAAGCCTGGCAGAGACATGGGGAAGCCGCGCTGGTTTTTACTTCAACCCCGTCAGTGGGACACCGTTGTCCACGTCTTAGAGTTCACCCCGGGGGTCTCGCTCACGTCGCTGGTCTCGGGTGCCCGCGTGGACGTGGTGGGAAAAGCAGGAGCGATTTCTCTGGTCTCACCGCCTCCCTCCACTCCCCCCTCTGAGTTCCGTCTTCCTCCCCGTTTTAGACCCCTGGCTGTGGACGGAGCAGCAGGTGTGCCAGTGGCTGCTCTGGGCCACCAACGAGTTCAGCCTGGTGAACGTGAACCTGCAGAGGTTCGGCATGAACGGCCAGGTGTTGTGCAACCTGGGCAAGGAGCGTTTCCTGGAGCTGGCGCCGGACTTCGTGGGCGACATTCTCTGGGAGCATCTGGAGCAGATGATCAAAGGTACCGGCGTGGGAGGGGAGAGCGTGCAGCGAGGGTCAGCGTTTCTCATGGGGTCGGTGGCCTGAAAATGCCACTGGAGTGAGTCACACGTGCAGTGACTACAGATCTGAATCCACGTAAGTGTGTGTGTGTGGCACCGAGCAGAGCCCCAAGGCCATAGCCTTAGTCACTGACCTGTTGGCGGGCGCTGGCGGCATTGGTGAGGGAGGACGTGTTGTCGCAGACTTAGAGGCCACAGACATTCCCCCTGTGGGGTGGCTCCCCTTACAGAACCGAAGCAAGTAGCTCAGTCCCCACGACCGGGACCTTTACTCAGACAAGCCCCGTGGATTTTACCGGGAATTCCCCCAAGTCCCAATGGATTCCAACAAAGAATTTTTTTTGGTTTTATTATTTTTAAACAAACGTGGAAGGGATGACCTATATCTCCATGCTGATCTGTTCTACAAAAACTGGCCACTCAGCCAAGAACTGTCATCCAATAGAGAGAAAGTCTTGATTCAGACCTTGCGACCAGTGTTAAAAGTACATTGAGTTAAAAAAGAAAGACATCGTAGCAAGGCCCCCTTCAGTGAAAACTTGAAGAAAACCAGCCCCTTTGTAGAGTTCGGGAAACTGGTCCTGGTTTAAATGAACGCCGTCAGAGACGAGACGCGGCACCCCACGGAGACAGTGGGAGTCCGCCGCCAGCCCTTGTTGGTGTGGCCCCTGAGGCCAGGGAGCCTGACCCGACATCCCCCTGACCTTGGGCAAGACTGGCCTGGCAAGGTTCTGGGGAGGGTCTGTTGGTGGGCAAGTTGGGCCTGTTTCGCCACTACTGGGTGTGAGGCTGTGGGTCTGGGTTTACGGGTGTGTGGGTGTGTGTGTGGTTACGTGTGTTTGCAGGGAGCAGGCATACAGAACCGCAAACCTTTTCCCTTTCAAAGTTCACGGGCACGTGTGTCCCCGCGTGGCCCTCTCTGTGTAGCTGTTCACTGCACCCTGGGGAGCTTCCAGGGTCTGAGCCAACGGCCACAGCCTCCCGGAGGCAGGGACGGAGCCTGCCCGACTCGGCTGCTCCATCCCCAGCCTCGGGTGCCGGGGGCACCTCACCGATATCGCCCTGCTCATTGACACACCATCCAGGTCTTTCAAATTGTGCGGTGGGAAATTTAACTTTGCCCAGATGGCATTCATGTCGGGACACTCACTCTACTTACTAAAAAGTGTGTCGCCGCCTCGAGTTTGTAAAAGGTGTCATGGCTTGGGACACCGTCAGGTTAAATGTGAGCCACTAAATGCGTTGACTTATCCTGAAATGACCCGAGAGCGGTAATTTAGGAAGTCGCTTTTTTTTCTTGTGTTGTTTTGTGTGTGTTTTTTGTTTTTAATCTTCACCTGAGGATATTTTTTCCATTGATTTTTTTTAAAGAAAGTGGAAGGGAGGGAGGGAATGGGAGAGAGAGAGAGAGAGAGAGAAACATTGATGTGTGAGAGACACATTGATTGGTTGCCTCCCAAGTGTGCCCCGACCGGGGCTGAGGATTGAATCTACCACCCACGCATGTGCCCTTGAGCAGGAATTGAACCCACAACCCTTCTGTGCCCTGGCTGGTGCTCTAATCACTGAACAGCAGCGGCCAGGCTGCTTGTGTCGTTTTAACCTCCATTTGCAATCTTATCTCTCCTGTGTCTGTTCTTCCAGAGAACCAAGAAAAGGCAGAAGATCAGTATGAAGAAAATTCTCACCTCAACTCAGTTCCCCATTGGATCAACAGCAATTCATTAGGTCAGTCTGGATTCTGCCCTTCAGGTCCTGAAGTCCTCCTGTTAGTTCATGGACGGTCCGAACTGTCTAGACCTGCGAACTATCTAGACCTGCGCTGGTCCATATGGTGGCCACATGGCTCTCGAGCTGCTGGGTGCTCGCAATGGGGCTGGCCCACACGGAGATGTGTGATAGGAGTGTAGTGCCCACCAGATCTGTGAGCCTCAGTAAGAAACAAAGAATGTAAAATATCTCCTCCTACTTATAAAGATATCGATTACCCATTGATATCCTTAGGCTCGAGTATAATTTTTAAAGTTCTCATGTTTCCTTTGTTTTTTTTGTGTTTTGTTTTTTCCTTTTTTAACGTGGCTACCAGAAAATGTATCATTGCCTGGTGGCCCCCTGGTCCAGGCCACGCACAGAGCGGGGGGCAGAATGCAGGGAGCGGGTTGCGGGGGTCCCATCTAGTACAAGAGAGGAGAGGTGGCTGGGCCGGCGCAGGGAGTGTGTGGGAAGCGATACCAAATTTGCTTAGAACTTGGGAGCTGAAAGAGGAGTCGGGGAATTCCGGTTCTCCCTCTGGTCGCTGACACAGTGAGTGTAGGTTACAGCCGGGGACAGACAGGGCTGGAGACGCCCCTTAGGAGTCACATAACGGGGGCCTGTCACTTAGTCTGAGCCTTAGTGTCCTTGGAAGTTGAAAGCCAGTGACCCTTGTCGTCCTGCGGGTCACGGAAAGCACTTGTTGGACGAGAGCCACCGAAACATTAACGCCGAGGCTGGCGCCCAGGGCCCAGAGGCAGCGGGCGTTTTGGAAAAGGGCCAGTAAGCCTGCCCATCCAAGCCCATGTCCACAGAGGGCTTGCAGAGGCCGGGCCTGCAGAACTGCTCGTGTGCGGTTGGCTGGAAGGGTGGAGGGTCTCTGACGATCACTGACTGTCTGTCGCCTAATAGCTCCGCCGTCGATGGTTCTGTTGCAGGCTTTGGCATGGAGCAGGCGCCGTACGGAATGCAGGCGCAGAGCTACCCCAAAGGCAGTCTCCTGGACAGCATGTGCCCGCCCGGCGCCCTCAGTTCCGAGCAGGAGTTCCCGATGTTCCCCAAGGCCCAGCTCAGCACGGTCGGCGTCGGCTACTGCTCTGTCGGGCAGGATTTCGCCGGCAGCACCTTGAACCTGATCGCCAGCGGTTCCGGTAAGGAGCTTCCACGCGTCCCTTGGAGCAGGCTGTGGCTGGACTGCGGGAGCCGGGGTCAGACGGCCACCCGAGCTGCTGCACCCGTGTCCTGGGCTCCTTAGGCCCTTCTCGCAGACCGTTCCCCCAGCAGGCACCCTCCTGGCCTGTTTCGGGCTGTGGTCTGGGTCCGGAGGGTGTGGCACCAACAACACACAGTCCTGCTGTTGGGAGTAGATTCCTCCACCCAGTGGGATATTTTGGGAGACAGTGTAGGAACGGAACAGATTTCTTTTTACGGAGATGTGTACACACCGTGCACAGATCTCAGGCTATCCAACTGGCTGAATTTTCACATGTGCACACCTGTGTAACAGCCACCCAGGGGAGATAGGTTTCCAGCATCCCAGGAGGCCCTCATACCCTTTCCCAATCGTCAGTAGCATCCCCACCCCAAGAGGAAACCATTGATTGTCCTTTTGTCATCATAGTTTTTCCTGTTCTTGACCTTGGTATAAATAGAATCACACTTTTTGCTTTTTTGTTTTTGTGTTTGTGTGTATGTGTGTTTGTCTTTTACTCATCATTGTGCCTGAGATCCATCTATGTTGTTGGATGTAGCCATCCTTTGTCCTTTTTCACCGCTGTATAGTACTCCACCCTGTGCGGCTACAGGTGGTCTATTGACTCTGTTGTTGAAGGAGGTGCAGTTGTGTGGTACACTTACCAGGAACCAGCCCTCCGTTTAAGAGCCTCCTGCCGCAGGGGACACGTTGAAGGGGGGGCGGTTGGCAGCAACGCCGCCAATGAGTCCAAGACAACCTGCAGTTATGTATTAGCTGTGGGGCCGGGCATGTCCCTGTCCGGAGGAGTCAGTGTGTGCCTGCTTCTGTCTCCAGGGAAGCCCGGGGACCGGGACTCCCCCGATCAGGGCGGGGACAGCTTCGAGGGCTCGGACTCCCTGCTGCAGTCCTGGAGCAGCCAGTCGTCGCTGCTGGAGCAGCGGGTGCCCTCCTTCGAGAGCTGCGAGGACGACGGCAGCCAGGCCCTGGGCCTCAGCAAGCCCACCATGTCCTTCAAGGACTACATCCAGGAGAGGAGCGACCCGGCCGAGCAGGGCAAACCGGTCATTCCTGCGGCCGTACTGGCCGGCTTCACAGGTGAGTGTGCGGCTCCGGGTGTCCGTCCCCTCCCTGTGCCCGCCCGGCTCAGCCGTGTTTGTTTATCAAGGGTGGTTCTGGTCTGAGCACATTGGATCTGCACCCCGCATTTGACCCGGGAGCGGGGGGAGGGGTAACCCTGCATCCAGACACCTGGTCGCTGAGCCACATCTTAGCTGTATCTCTGAGTTTTACAACGGCCAGCTGCTCGGTGGTGTGGATGGAAGGGCACACAGCTTCCCAGGGAGGAGGAGGAGGAGGAGGAGGAGGGCCAAGGCACTGGGCTGTGGAGCCTTCAGCTCTGACTCACCCACTCCAGGAATTTCAAAGAATGTAAACTGGTTCAGGAGGGGCAGCCAGCCAGCCTCAAATAACACAGGCCTGTTTACCTTTTCTTGCGCCTAAAACCCCTCTTATTTTTAAAGTTTGGGCAAGAGCTATTCTAGGCAAGGGACAAATATTAAAGCTGTTTTTGGAACTAGATTATTTCCAGCATTTTAGCAAAAATACCAGGATATTTTAAAAATTTATTTAATTGCTTCATGTGTCCTTAAATGAGCTTTCCCCCCCTGTACTTTGACTATATATAGAGCCCCTGGGGATTTAAATAGTACCTACTACGAACCCTGATGGGTTAAAATAAGGCTGTGTAGGCATCCGCAGCCACCTGAAACATCAGCCACGGACACGTGTGGCAGGGCCCACGGGGGCGGGAGAGGCTGTGGTGTTCATCCCTGGGGGTCGGGGCCTGATGAAATAGCACCCGGGGGTCAGGCCTGGTGTGGGTGTTTTCCATTCTAGTATTGCTTACCTGCTCCGTGGGGTTCCGCAAGGCGTGTTGTCGGGCGTCATCAGGCCGGCCCAGCGTGGGCGGGTATTAACCCATTTTACAGACGGGGAAATGCGCTCGGTGACACAGCTCCCTGGGCACACAGGCAGCCAGTTCCGTGGGTTCCAGCAGCCACGCCTTGCTGCCGATGGCCTCTGCGTCTTGGGGAGCAGCTCTGGGGGGGGGGGCGTGTGACCGGGCAGGGCCCCCCGCCTCTGAGCACGTCTTGGTCCTCGTCTGTAGACGGTGCGGCCGAGCCGCTTCTCCACGAGGCAGTGGTTGTAAATTCTGGCCGAGAAAGGGCCCTGTGCAGAGCGTAGGCGGCTGCACCCGGGAGGCCGGTGAGGCCGTGGAGGCCACTTCCCAGTGCTCGAGTGGCTCTTGGAGGAAACTGAGTCTTGGTTGAAGCAATTTGGGCCACCCGTCACGTGGCCAGAAGCCAGGGACAGGATTCCACAAACACCACGTGGTCCTCTGGTTATCTGCCCCCGTCGCCCGCCCGGCCCAGCCCAGCTTAGAAACAAGCACTGAAGGTGGTGACTCCAGGAGGAACAGGGTTTGGAATTTTGATGCCAAGAGTCCGTGGCCTTGAATTTTTTCCCCAAAAGACCAAACCCAGGCACCCAGGGCCGTGAGCGCTTTTCCTGGCGTAGGGATTCTACTTGGGGTCCAGCCTCATCCCACTGGCATTCGGGACTGTCCCGGCCACCTGGAGCGGCCCCACCACGTCGGCACCCAGGGTCCGGCTCGTGTTCCGCAGCCTGTCTGTTTCATTGGGACGGCTGGAGCCTTGCTGTGTTTTAAATCTGTAAAAACCCATAGCTGGCCTGGCTCGGGTGTGGCTCATGGGTTGAACATCGACCCTTGAACCAAGACGTCCCCGGTTTGATTCCCGGTCAGGGCACATGCCCGGGTTTTGGCCTCGATCCCAGTAGGGGGTGTGTAGGAGGCAGCCGGTCCATGTTTCTCTCTCATCAGTGTTTCTGCCTCTTTCCCTCTAAAAATCAATACAAACCTGTGACTGCCCTCTCCCCAGGAAGCGGACCGATCCAGCTGTGGCAGTTTCTCCTGGAATTGCTCTCCGATAAATCCTGCCAGTCGTTCATCAGCTGGACCGGCGACGGATGGGAGTTCAAGCTCGCTGACCCCGATGAGGTATGGCCCGAGCCCGGGGGATCGGTCTTGGGCTCCCAACCCTGCTCTCACCCCTTTGGGTTCACAAACTCAGCTCCCTGGACACAAGGACGGGTCCGGGCACGCAGGCGAGCTCTCCTGGTGGGCCCGATACGGGAGTGCGTCCAGCTCCGCTGACCCTCTTGCTCTGTCGTCGAATACAGAGGCGCAAGCAGTAAACTGGGGCTGTCTCCTGGCCGTGTGAAAATGCCTTGGGAAAGCTGCTTGTTCCTGTTGGGGGGAGGGAGCCTCGTACCCCCACATGTGCACACTGGCTGGGCTCTGTGCCCCTCAGCTGAGCTGGGCAGAGCCGCCCCAGCCGTGTCAGGAGGAGAGAGCCGAGGGCAGGCCCAGCCCCTGCCCATCAGGGGGCAGCATTAGGGAAGCCCTGGGTCTGACTGGTAGCCCTGTCACCTCCCCACCCCTGGGAAGCAGAAGCGTTGAGGATCGCTGATGTCACCCAGCTCAGAACCCCACTCAGCATCTGGTGGCAGGAATAAGAACCAGGGGGACAGAGGGGGGAACACAGCTTGTCTGTTGCCTCAGGACCCCCAACTCGGAACCCTTGGTTTCTGGGAGGTTGTGCTGAGTGAGAGGCTGCAGGAGCCCTGTGCCAGGCGGCACTGTGGGTGGGGGTGCCACACTCCGCTCTGCCCCTCCCCTCGTCCTCGGGGAGCCAGCTGAGGGGCACAGCCCTGGTTCGCATCCTAAGGCAGATGGGACCTTAGGGGTCCTTTAGCGGCCAAGTTCCCCCAGTGAGCACGCGGCAGCGTCATATCGTCATCGGGGCAATTGCCGATGGAATGGAATTGAGCTCTTCTCCGCCCGTGTCTCCCCCGCAGGTGGCCCGCCGCTGGGGCAAGAGGAAAAACAAGCCCAAGATGAACTACGAGAAGCTGAGCCGGGGCTTGCGCTACTACTACGACAAGAACATCATCCACAAGACGTCGGGGAAGCGCTACGTGTACCGCTTCGTGTGCGACCTGCAGAACCTGCTGGGCTTCACGCCCGAGGAACTGCACGCCATCCTGGGCGTCCAGCCGGACACGGAGGACTGAGGCCCGGGTCCGCCAGCGGGGCCATCCTGACCGACTGCCCCGGGCCCTGCCAGGCCGCTCCCACACTCCAGGAACGTCGCCAAGAAGCAGTGGCCTCATTTCACCCGAAACTGCAGCTCTTCGCCCAGAGCAGCGCGGTGGGTCGCTTCCGGAGCCCGCGGACGGGAAAACGCTATTTAGGCTGCGGCCGCGTGGAATGGCCGAGGGGGCGGCTGCGTGAGGCTGTGGACATCTCCGAGGAGCGATCGTGTCGCGGGCGCGCACATTTTTTTATTTTATTTTCTTCGGCCGTTTTGCAACCACGAACACGAAAGCGGTCTCTTTGTTTCAGAGGGCGGGAGGGGCGAGGAAACGACCGTGCCATTTCAGACGTTGGTTTGTATATAGGATTGTAATCTTATAATTGTTGTCGAAATCCTCTAACAGTTCTATTTAACAGAAATTGTATATTGTAATTTAAAATAATTCTATGACTATGTGAAATAAGAATGCAACCCGTATTCCATTTTTCAAGAGCGCCTACGGCATTTTGCAAACCGTGAACCTGCCCCGGGCAGGCTAAGAGGATTTGTAAAATGTGTTTTATTTGCATTTACTGTGCCTACAGGCGAAAAGTCTAAGAGGGGTCATCCCTGTTTTTTTGTGTGTGTTTTTGCTTTGCCTGGGCTCTTAGCTGGCAAGGACTTTGTTCATTTTGGGAATTTTTATAAGAAACTTAACATTATTATCTGGGGGCGCCTCTGGCCTCTGGTTTCTCCTTTTGATTGTAATGTCAAACCTATAAAGCAGTATTTTTCTTGACGGACGGCATATGCTTCCCATTCCTACGCATGCCTGTAAGCCAGTTGATACACAAAACTTATTTCCTAGTTCATGTGTGTTTCTCCTGCAGCTAACCCTCCTGACCAGCCATTCCACCCACGCCCCACTCCCAAGCCCCACGTGACTCTGATGAAAATAAGAATACTATTTTTGGAAATATGCAACTCCTTTTCTGAGATCAGGAGGGATTTATGTAGCAGCTATTTTTACTGTAAAAGTATTTCACTGGAAAAAAAAAAGTAATTTGTAAGAAAGCTTTATTTTTTATCTCGGCTCCATGTAAACATGCTGTACGGAGCTGAGGGTGGGGGGAGGGGAACCTTCGTGAAACCTCGGACATGAATGGAGCGTGTGGGTCCCATCCTTGTTCACCGGCGAGTCTGGGGCTGTCCGTCTGGATACCACGCCGCTCCTTCCTGCTCGGCGGCCACGGCGACATCGTTTTGTTCTGTTCTTACATTTTGGATGCAGAATGCCCAGGGGCCCAGGGCCTGAGCGAGGCGGGAGGGGAAGCATGGGACTGGGTCACGTGGAGAAGACGTTTTGATGGCGATGGCGACTTTTCAGCCGCTTCTAAGGAGCACCTGGGCAGCGCGTCTTCCTGGCCTCCGTACGTGAGCCAGCCCGGTGGGTTGCAGAGCCGGACAGGTGTCCCTAGAGTGTGAGAGGACACCTGGGCCCGTCCCTGTGCTGAGACCGTGCGCTCGGCTGGAAGGACGCGCTGGGAAGGGCAGAGCCACCTCCAGACCAGCATGAGACGGGCCCCAGCATCTTCAAACACAGGATGTTTCTCAGGCGGGATCTGTTTATCGCTCGGACGTCTGTTTATAACATCGACAGACACGTGACTGGGGACATGTTGCTGCCAAAGCAAATGTTAGCCGTCGGCTCATTTTCTATGGAGTCGGACCACAGGAAATCAATATTGGACTGTTGTTGTTTCCATCGACCAAGTTGGCAGTTTCAGGCGGTCCCACCTAACAGTGGTGGGAACTGAAGTCCCTTAGAATCCTCTGGCATGGTGACGAACAGAACATAAGTATAAAGATTTTGTAATTTGGCCGTTTTCTTTCTCAAATAAAGTATTTTGTTTATATAAACTACTCCGCGTTAGAGTCGTCCCTCTTCGTCCCCACCCCAGCAGGGAGGGCGGAGGGAGGAGGCGGCGCTCAGCCCCTGCTCACTCAGCAGCGCCCCCCTCTCCCCCGCCACCCCACCCCCCACCCCCCGGGCCTTGAGTCACAGCTCCATTTAAGGGATTTTACACGCGGCCACCACCTACTAAATCCTGACCAAGCTGGACCCAGCTGGGAGCCCTCCCTGCAGGCATTCCCAAAGGAGTGTTCCTTAAAGTGAAAAGTTCATTTAAGAAACACCTAAAATAGGAAGATTCGGGCTCCATCTTTGCCAGGGGGTTGGCGGGACACAGAAGGGATTTGGGGATGTTCACATTTAAGAACAGTAGGCTTTGAGGTTCAAGGACTTTTGTAACTGAGGTGGGACTCCTGGGGACCCCTGGCGTTGCTGGGGTGCCTTCACCAGACAGGAGGGGGATGGTCCCGGGACACCTCCTCTCCCAAGTCCTCAGGGCTCCTCTCCACTCTCCAGAATGAGTGAGAACGTCACAAAACCTGGGCGGATTCCATCGGAGGCGGCGGGAGCCAGCTCCCGGGGGCACGCACTGTCTCTTCCCGGGTCTGCGTCAGCTGGTCGGTTGAACTTGGTCGGATGAGAATATTTGCACCGTGAAGTCAGCACACACAGCAGATGAGGGAGGGCGCCCCGGTCCAGGGAGCAGCGCGTTAAACATTGACCAGCACAACACTGGTCATCCATGTCCACCATATTAGAAGTTCACCCGCTTTAACATAAAATAACATTACCTATTAACATTGTTATGAAAAATAACCATTTTTCTGAGAATGGCGTTTTGCCTGCTTTCTGATCTCTCTGATGTCTGATTTCATGGAAGAGGTCTGGTTTCTGACACCATGGCCTTCGGTCTGTTGTGACACTTTGAAGAAAATCAGGCCTCAGGCCTCACGTAACTGGAAGAGGGAGGGCGAGTAGTAACTTTCAGATCACGGTGGGTATTGTTTTCTGTGACACCACAGCTGACAAACCACTTAAACGGCAGCTGGCAGTGAAACCATATCAATGAAGTCCCCTGTGGCTGTGACAAGTCCCGCGGGCCTGTCTGGACTTTGCGTGGCTTTTGACCCCTGCGCGATTTGGTAACATCGTGCCTCAGTCACATGGAAAATATTGCTTCACCATGTTGGCCCATGTCCGTACACAATATCAAGCAATCATATCCGTTACTGTTACCACCAGTTTCATCAGCAAAGCACTGGGAAGCGGTCAAGCTCAAAGTGGCCGCCAGAAATTTTGAAAAAATTCAGATTTTTGCTTGAAAGCTCAAATTTTATCATCAGCAACAAACACCAACTTTTCTTTGAAGTGACAGACCCATGTCATTTATTTTTTGAGGAAAAACTTGTCAAATACCCAAGTCTGAATAAACATAATTTGTCAAGTTGTTCTTTCAATAAATACGGTGTTTGTGAATAAAGTGGCTAAGTTAGCTTACAACTCAAACAAATATTTTTTTGGAAGATAGCATAAATATTTACTTTATATATTAAATTTAAAATATTAAAACATAAAAGCATCTTTTTTCTAATTTTCCCCCCATACAAGTTGACATACAATATTATACATAGTAGTTGCAAGTGTAGCCTAGTGGTTAGACACTGATATACCATACAAAGTGATCCCCCCAATAAGTCTTGTAACTATCTATACTAATAAAAGGGTAATATGCTAATTAGACCAGGTCAACCGGACATCTTCCGGTCATCCGGTCCTCCTTCCAGACAAAGCCATGGTGGTGGGGGCCAAGGCAGAAGCAGTTAGGGGCGATCAAGCCAGCAGGGGAGGGCGATTGGGGCAATCAGGCCGTCAGGGGAGGGCAGTTAGAGGTGATCAGGCAGGCAGGCAGAGTGGTTAGTGATGATCAGGCAGGCAGGCAGGTGAGCGATTAGAAGCCAGCGGTCCCAGATTGAGAGGGATGTCCTGGATTGGAGAGAGTGCAGGCCGGGCTGAGGGACCCCCACCCCCCCGTGCATGAATTTTGTGCACCAGGCCTCTAGTTTATAATTATAGTATTATTGACTATATTCTCTAGTAGCATAAGGATATGTACACTTTTCATTTTATTACCAGGAAATTTAGAAGATGCGTATTCACTTATTCTTAACTTTAATTTGTACAGCTCCGTGTAAGACATTGTCAAGGAGACTGCAAGTTCCCTGCAAGTTCAAGGAGGTGAGGCTTGCAGTGATGCCAGCACAGGTGAGTGCCAAGGTCCGGGCGGTTTTTCCACTATCAGTGCAAATGTCAACCCAGCAAGAGAGCCAAACGTGGTCCTATTGTTACAAAAACTGCTCTGAGCCTGGGGACCCCCCCCCCACCCTGCGGAAGGGCTGTCAGAGGTCCCATTGTCTGGAGACCTCGCTTGGAGGAAGGTTCCAGAAGCAGAGAGGGTGGGAGGACCATTTTCCTCGCTCACCCAGCGTCTATGCTTCCAGTCTTTTCACAGCCAGTCATGAAGCATTTTTTAAAATTTGCAGCCAAAAGCATCGTCCAGTTCTGCGGGATGAACTTCATTCCTGTGGGGGAACTGGGTTCTCTCAGGGTCCTCTACACCCTTCACTCTGCCCTTTTTTATCTTCACTCCAACCCTAAATGTTTTAAACTTGGAATAAGATGTATCTTTTACCACAATTCTTTAAATTCATTTTTCTTAATATACTCAAAACTAAGGATGCGGTGAGGGGCCCGTGGCCTGTCCCCCAGTTTTCCCACGTGGTGCGGAAGAAGCAGAATTAAATTGTCTTTAGCTCTCTTCCCCCGCTCCCCCCGCCATGTCCTGGTCCTCCCTCATATAGGCCTGAGGCCACCTGTGAACGGCCCAGGGTGGACCTCACAACAGGCCTGACGGGGCTGCTGGTTGGGTGTCTGAGGTGCAGGCAGTGGGCGGAGGCGGTGGAGGTGGAGGTGGAGGGGGTGCAGGGTGAGGGAGCAGCCTCTTCCACCTGCTTGGGGAACATCAGGCAGGGGGCAGGGGGCTTTTCTGTGCTTCGGAGCCAGACTCTGGGTTATCACTGTCGTGCGCTGGTGTGTGGCCTCAGGCAGGTGACTCGAACTCTGTGCCTCAGTTTCCCCTTCCTAAAGTGGGGTCGCTGGAGAGCGGTGGGTGATGAACCCTTGGTGTCAGATTGGGAAGTCGGTGGCCTGAGGGCTCCATTGAAGGCAGGAGCCACGCAGTCCGGCAGGGGGGCTGCCGAGAAAATAGGGGCCGTGGGGTCGTGGCGCCTTTTCCATGAGAAGAAACGGGGCTCCACCGCGACTCCACCCCAGGCCTCTGTTCCCCGAGGTTCTCTGGCCGAGATAACCACGTGTGTTGGCTCCTGCATCTGCTCCCCGGGCTGCCCCACGCTGCCGGCTCCTCTGGCCCAGCCCGGGGTTTGCATTGTAAATGACCCACACACCTCCCACCCAAAGAACACGCAGTCCTCGCAGCTGGCGCCAGCTCCTGTTCTCTGAGCAGATGCAGAATCCCGTCATCTGGGCCAGATGCTAATCTGTCTTTTCTGTAGGAGCCAAGCAGAAGGGCGTGCCTGGCCGGGGGGAACCCCTGTGTGGAACTTCTGTAAGTCCTGGCGGGGCCGCGTCCGCGCGTGTGACGCTGCTTGGCACCTCGCGGCGGGGAAAGACCATTTTTGGTCAGAGCTGGTGTGATGACACCGTGACTGGGACTGACGCGGCCTCTGTCCACGTGCTCTGAGTAACGGCCCCGCCTCGACTCCCAAAGTCATGTTCAGATGGCAGAGCAGCCCGGGATTGCCACATCGGCCCCCGCCAGCCGTGGCCGTGTCTGCGGCTACACGCTCTGATGTATGTAAGCAGGGCTCAGCACGCACATGTGTGTTTGCATGGGATGGGGCCAGAAATGCAGCTCCCTGGCCCCCGTGGCTGCTCTGACTGGGGAATAGAACACCGCAGTGAGGAGGCGACAAGCAAAGAAAATGGAATGTCAGCTGTGGTCCATCTCCATGTTTGGGGGCCACCTCCACCGAATCACATTCATCAAAATGCAGAGACGTCATTACTAACAGTGAAATGTGGTACCATTTGCAAGGCTCCCTGGCGTCGGTCATCCCCCTGGGACCCTGGGAGGTTGGTTTTATTGTGCCCATGTTATAGATGGGGCCTCCGTCAATAAGGTGACATACTGAGTTACTGGGCTTTAAGGCGGCAACGTATGAATTCTGGAAGAACACGGTTCATGTCCCAACACGAAATAACTCAAAATCAGCAAAAGCGGGCCCTGGGGACACCCGTCACCGAGTGCGTGTGGCTCACCCAAAAAGGTACCGGGCAAACTCAAGAGCAACTCCTAACATGTTTAAAGAGAAGTAGGATGATCATGCTGAGAGAGGAGATAAACAGAAACATAAAAATGTGCAACTCCAACCACATAAATAAAATGAACAGAACAAAGGCCACAAAGAGAAAACCATAATGAATATGGTCAGTATGAATTCAAATATCTCAATACCACTTTAAATGTCAATGGCCTAGACACCTTACTTGAAAGACAGAGACTGTCTGAGTGGATTGAAAAACAAGACCCAGCTAGAGTGTTGCCTTTAAGAAACCACTTCAGCTATAAGGCACAGTGAGGTAAGAGTAGAGGGGTGGACACGAGCCACCATGTGACACTATTTTTAAAAAGCTGGAGTCGCTGTGTTAACATCAGACATCGCAGAGTAGAGAGCAAGAAAAGTGACCAGGGGCTTGCTGGAGCGCGAGGGACTTTTAGGGCAGGGGAGCTATTCCCTGGGACTGCAGGGGTGCGTAGAGGCATCACGCATTTGTCAAAAACCTCAGCATGTTCAACACAAAGTAGGAACCGGAGGTAAAGGGACTGTAGTTGACAACGATGTACACTATCGGGTCATCTGCTGACCCTGCGGCCGGACCCCAGCCAAGCCAGGTGTCCACAGCACTGGCTTCTTCATGTGGGATGTCAGGG